AGAGCAAGGCTTGCAACAAACTTTAGTTACTCCTTCCTTTTCTTGTGGCTCATTCTCTTCCCCAAAACACTTCCTTTCATCTCTCTTCCTTTAGTTCCATATCTGAAAAAGAGACCAAACCTCCTTTCTAAGGAAAACCCTTCCACTAACTCCCATCACAGCCCTCGCCCTCCATGATCTCTTTGTGTGAATTAGCCAATCTCTCCCACATTTCCAGTGTCTACCTTTCCACAGGCCCCTTCCTCTCTGCTTTCAAAGGTAATTCACTCCACAAACCTTCCCTTCATGCTCCTGGACCTTCAAATTGCTAAGGCTTGCTCACCTTCTTTCCACTACCACACTCATCCCTTTATATCTTTGAAATCTGGCTTCTGCCCCCACCACTCAACCAGAAGTATCCTTTAGGGACGTCCTGCATGCATCCTGATCACCAAATAACCTCTCTCCAGCTGTTGTTAAAAACACATTGGCCACCTCATCAGAGCTCATAGGAAATTAATCTATTGCATTATTCTGATACTCAAAAATCTTCAATGGCACTGTAAATGCCTGCTAAGTAAAGGGCAAGCTCCTTAGCCTGGCACTGCAGGCTGCGATCCTCCCTTCCAGACTCACTCCACACTCTTCCCTGACATGTACCTTTTACTCTGGTCTAAACCACTTCCTGTTTCCAGTACACATTGTAACCATTCTTTTTTATTTTATTTTATTGTGGTAAGTACATTTAACATGAGATCTATCTTCTTAGCAAATTTTAAGTGTACAATACAGAGTTGATGGTTATAAATGTTGCACAAGAGATCTCCAGAGCTTATTCACCTTGCTTAATTAAGACTTTATGCCTATTGATTACTAAGTCCCATTTCCTCCTCTCCCTAGCAAACACCATTCCACTATTTGATTCTATGAATTTAACAATTATATATACTTCATATAAAGGAATCTTGCAGTATTTGTCTTTCTGCGACTGGCCTATTCTACTTAGTGTAATGTCCTCAGTGGTCATCTGTGTTGTCACACATCACATAATTTCCTTCTTTTTAAAGGCTGAATAGTATTCCATTTATGTATATAACACATTTGCTTTATCCATTCATCTGCTGATGGACATTTAGTTTGCTGCTCCACTTCTTAACTATTGTGACTAGCACTGCAATGAAAATGGGGGTACAGGTATTTTTTAAGACCCTAATTTCAATAATTTTAGACAAATACACAGAAGTGGGATTGCTGGACCATATGGTAGTTCTATTTTAAATTTCTTGAGGAAACTCCATACTGGTTTCCAGAGTGGCTGCACCATTTCGCACTCCCACCCACAGTGTGCAAGGTTTCCAATTTTTTGACATCCTTGCCAACACTAGTTGCCTTTTTAAAATAAGAGCCCTCCTGACATTGTGACTGTCCTTGCCTCCACAAATATTGCTCACACCATTCCCTTCACTTATGATGCCCTTTTTCAGATTTTACCTAACCCCAACTTTATAAACATTGCTTGAGCACTTTTTTTGTGCCAGAGCCACATCAGATATCAGTTCCTTTGTGAAGCTTTCTCTAGTCCTACAGACACTGGATCCTTACAGAATTTTTTTTTTTTTTTGCATTCTCCTTGTGGAACTTCAAACTCTTCACAGGCAATTTTAGTCCTCCATTAACTCATGTAAGGAAAGAGATCATCTCTTTGTATTCCTGCAGTATTCAGCACAATGCTTTCTTCATAATGTGCATTCGATAATTTTGTGTCAAATAAATTCAGATGTGCAATTAATGACTTACACTCACGATTCCAATAATTTTCCTGATACATTAATCCTACAGTATCCTTGCTTTCCCCAAGTTCATCAAGAGAAATGTGCCCCTTTTCACCCCTCTGCTGGGAAGAGCAGTGAGGTTCTAGGAACGCCATATGCCAGCAGTACTAAACAGGGCGTATGTGAGCAATAGCTGAAAGGGCATGCTATTTCAGAGAAAGAAGCAACACCAAAGCTGCAGAGATTACCAGATGCCAGAGCCAGAAATGCCATATGCCAAAAAACTGAAGCCAGAGGTGTGAGTGTGGCATCATGCAAGGGATGAGAAAAGCATGTAGGTCTTTGGAAAATGTGATGTCGAGAATTTCCTGTGTAACCCAAGCCCAGCACCAGCATCATTCTCACAGAGATATGGAGGTTGTGGAAAATCCTAAGACCTGAGGCCTCTGTGTTTGGGGCAGCAGAAATCTACCTGGAAATAAAAGGCTGCTAGAAAGTGGATGCTCAGTGGGAGATGAAAAGACTGAAACATCAGCAACACCTTTGTTTCATGGAAAGAACACTAATTTAGTGAGAAGGGGAAAGCAGACTTTGTAGAAGAAAAAACAACAGCTCCACCAAGCCATAGGTAACCAATAGCTCCTTTTCCCTGGAGTTGAAAGCAAGTGCGATGAACAACCCGGGTAGCTCAAGGGCTAAGAGGCACATTTGGGGCTTGTTACTGTTATTATTTGAAAGTGATAGCTGACCTTGTGTTTCTCATTTCTGGAATAAGAACAATATTTCTGAGAAAGATCATGGAATGGTAGAAAGATCACAGGCTGTGGGGCAAATCAATATCCGTTCAGATTCTAGCCTTGTGAGTACTAATTGTACCTTGGACAAGCTATTTATACCCTCTAAGTCTCGGTTATCTCAACTGTAAAAGAGGGGTAATCATGCCTACTTTCCAGAGAGGTTAGAAGGATAATAATAATAGCATTTACTAAGTGGAAGGCATTATGTCTCATATTATCTCATGTGTGTTACCACATAACCATCTGAACTAAGCTGTATATTAGCTTCCCCATTCTACAGATGAGGAAACTGAGACTCTGAAGAGTTAAGTAATCCATCCAAGTTCATTCAACTAGTAACAGACACAGCTTGGATGTAAACCCAAATCTGGATGTGCTCTTGTTCCCTACAAGTGTCAGCCTCGCTAGAAACCATCTTTGAAAGTAGTCACATCTTATCCCCAGGCATGGGAGTGAGGATAATTGTCGGCCTATCCCTTATTCCTCTGCTGTTTTCAGACCACTGTTCCTCCGCCATATCCCAAGAACCTTGTACTATCCTATTCCCAGCTTTCTTGCTCTATCTAGCAAAAATTTTGGTACTTATACCCTATATATGCTTTCTCAAGGCCGTGGGATGTGTCTTATTCCAGTAACTCAATAGTAGTACAGTCGTAACAATAACTGTATCAGTACCTTACTCTTATTGACAGCTCGCACTGCACTAAAGAGCTCATATACATGAGCTTGCTCAATCTCCACATCAACCCTGTGAGGTGGGTACTATTATTAAGTAGATAATGTATGTTAAGTCCCTGGAACAGAGTAAGCTCAATAATTGCTAGTTCTTAGTGTGAGTACTATTTCTCAACAGGTCCATAAAATAAAGCCCCTGGAGAAGAGATAGGCAATCTTTTTTTTTCTATTAAAAGAAACTGTCCCAAAAGGGGTAAAGAAAAAGTTGAAAAAAATTAAGTAGGTCAAGTTTTATGGGCAAGAAATACCAGAAATCCCGTTCATTTGCTTTTACATTAAAAGATAAATAAAAGTGAATAAAGGAAACTTTGCTTCCATTTTATGTCTAAGTAAGGGAGAGAGGAACTGAGGGGAAGAAAAAGCTCAAGGAAAGGGGAGCTTTCAAAGGAGAGGGCTCTAAATGTGCACAGCCAGAGACCTTGGATTAGATGGGAGGCAGATCAGAGAGACGAAGCAGCCTTTTAGGGTTCTGGGTCTGGGCGATTCCGAGAAGCTGGCACAACCTACAGATCCTTCTCTTTACTGGAATTTCAGGGAGTTCATGGCCTCTGTGAAGCCCATCCCTGGCACTCCTACTCCAGGAAGAAAGGAAGAGGAAATGAAATCAAGCCAGGAGAGGAGGAGAGAAACAAAGAAGAAAGAGACGGAAAAAGAGAAAGAAAAAGAACAGGCAGTGTGCCCTCCCTGAGCACCCACCCGCCAGTACTGCAGAAACCTTTAGCCCTATTGTCCCTTCCAGGTTTGCCACCTTAACGTCACCTCCAGTTAGCACTCAGCAAGTTTGTCATACTCAAGGTCAGCAACCCCCACCCTCACTAAGGTCCTCTCAAACATCACCACGCTCATCCCGAAGGTGACGTGGACTCCATCACTTCTCCAATTGCTATCATCCACATAACTCATCCACTGAAAACCAGGTCTCTGTGAAAAGCATCTTTCCATCTCAAAGGCCATTCAGGGTACCGAGCTTGCCTTTTAACACCCAGAGGTCCCCTTCGAATTCACACAACATGCATGTTGGATTCATCTTAAAGAAATTGTTTGTATGTGTGTGAGTCAGTGTAGGGGGGAAAGGGTAAGAACTCAGAAACTGCTTCAAGTTATAGTAAGTTAAGCCCAGAGTCACATGTAAATGATAGGTGAAAGGTTTCTTATCTTTGCACTGTGATATAAAAATAGCTTCTCCTTTTTGTTCTTGATTCATCTCTGTGGCAGTGGAAATAGAATGATTTTTCCCGATCTCTTATTTTCAATTTAAGTCTTTGGTCACTAACCTGCTTTACTTCTCTGAGAAAGCCTAATACTATGATGGGTTATAAGACTTCCTGGGACTCTAAGCACTAGAATTCACGTGTTCTTGCAATTCGGTGATCGAGAATGAAAACAGGTGAATATTTATAATTTGTAAGTAAACAATGAATATTAGTGATTAGAAGATTGAGGCCTTGAACTGTTACATGGAAATCCATTGCCTTTATATGTTGTGCCTGAGCGATACTCATAATACAAGGTAAACCTTTTCTTTAAATGAAATTTTTTTTTCAATCAGAAAGAGCATCTACAGGGTGAGGAATTTTCTGGAAGGAATGGAATTTTACACCTGTCACAGAGACCATTCCCTGTTAGTCCTTTTAAATTAGAAAAGGTTAATTATTTCATGTCTTGATATAACGACTTCATTCAGGTTTATTGTGAAATCTGATTAGAAGACAGATACCTGATTGTTGGCCTGATAGAGATCAGCATTGCGTCTTGTGCAGCTGCGGCGGTGTGCCTAAACTGAAAGAAGAATACATGTGGTGTTTGGGAATGAGGAATAGTGAGTTCACATTAAAGAGCATATAGAGTTGGCATTAACCAAACATACATTACTGAGGCACATTCTTTGAATCTATGAAATTTTAAAGATGAAAATCTGGAAATATTTCAATTTTAGGCATGATAGAAACCAATCTTATTTAGATTATATACGGTATTTTTAGTTTGTTTTGTCACACAATAATTTTTTTGTTGTTGTTATCATTAATCTACAATTACATGAAGAACATTATGTTTACTAGGGTCCCCCCTTCACCAAGTCCCCCCCACAAACCCATTACAGTCACTGTCCATCAGCGTAGTAAGATGTTGTAGAATCACTAGTTGTCTTCTCTGGCAACACAATAATTTAACGATTGAGGTTAAAAGGCCATGAGGCTCTATGTATTGCTTCCATTTCCAGAATTATAGGAATTTGGGGACACTGCTCCAGATGATGTGGTTCCCATGGCCCATCAACTTGCAACCCATGTTAGCGTGCTCTTCATTTTCCTACCCACTTGCCAGCTGCTCAGTTGGCCACTATATTCAACTTTGGCCTTGTGTCTACAATATACACAAATAGCCCTCCCTTCAAGGGCTTCATTAATAGCTTTCAGCATCTGCTCACATTCTAAGCATCGAGTACTAAATCCAGAGAGGGCCTGGCATATGGCTACATTGTTCTACTTGTAGAAAATGAAAAGCAGAGGAATGAGCCCTCAACCACTGAACTTTAAACTTCCAACCACTGCTGGCTTAAAACAAAATACTTAAATAGGCCCCTTTTGTTTACCTGTGTGCATGTACATGAGTGTGCACACAAGCATTTGTTTGTAAATGAATAAAAAAAGATCTGAAAGTATTCACATCAAATATACATCAATATGTTAATAGTTACCCATGAAGACTGGGATTGGGGGTGATGATGTAACAATATTTCACAGTTTACACAATATAGGTCTTTCTGTATTGAAGGTTTTTATAGCAATTATAGAATATTTTTCTTATTAAAACAAAAACCAAAATACATATAAACTTAGAAAAAAGTTGATGGTGGCTCACATTAAAGTGTTTAGAATTGTTACCTGCATACTACAGGATCAGAGAGAAGGATTATTGCTTCCTTACATATTGTATACATTTATAAATTTTAAATGGCTGATTATGGGCATTTTTCTTCATATATATGTAACACTATGGAATTTTTAAATCAAACTTTTCAACCACATTAAGAGGAATCATAGATACAAAGAAGTGCTGTACACCTCATGAACTATGTTAATATCTATTACTTGCATGTGTTCATTTGGTGCTCCTGGACTAGCAGTATGATTTTGTCTAACAATTTCTGTTTCATTTTCCCATCACCATTGAAGGATTTGAGGTTATAAACAAATCATAGTTATGAGTCTTGGCCTGATTGGAGAAAGTTGACAAGTGAAGCATAAACTTTCTGTGCATTCTGTAGAATGTAAGCTTCACCAGGTCAGAGATTTTGTCTGCTTTGTCCACCACTACATCCCCAATGACTAGCATTTCTGTCTGGCATGCAGTAGGTGTTCAGTAAACATTTGTTGAATGACTAAATGCATGAATGTTCAAACCCAAAGACAAAGTGAGCCACTCGGAGATCTATATGGTGAAAGAGCATGGGCTATGCCATGTAGATGGTAAGAGGAGAAGAGTATGGTTTAATGAAAAGAAACAACACTGAACTGGAGAGTCAAGAGACTTAGGTCCAACTGACTGGTAAGTGACCCTGGATACGTGTTTTGCCATCTCTGGAATTTGATGCTCTCATTTGTCAAGTGAGAGGATTAGAATAAATCTACAGAATGCAAATTGTTTATAACAATGACCCCGTATTACTTGAAAGAAAACCAGATCTTGTAAAATAGCTACAAACGTACAAATTCATATAGTGTCTGAGATATTCACGTGGTGCTAATGATGGTTATTTGTGGAGTTTTTTTCCAGTTCGTTTCACTTTTCTCAATTATTTGAATATTTTATAATAATATATCACTTTTACAAAAGCAGACACCATTGTTCTACTTTAAAGTGATGAGCAGCCTATGAAAATAAAGGAAACAAAAGAAGTATTACAATTACCCAACAAGATTAAAGGGGAGGCCCAGAGGGCTGCCATCCCTCCTGATAGGATCAAGCTTCTTTCAGACTTGACACTTCTCTGGAGATGAAAAGGGGGCCCAGTGGTTTGCATGCTCCTAGTGAGACCACCACTCCACCTCTCCCTATAATCCCTGTTATCAATGTGCTGTGCACTACATAAGACACCAGTTCCAAAAAGATGCTGTACTTAAAACTGACCATCTACCCCCAAGTCAACAGTCAATAGATCATCCAACCCATCAGGCTCTAAATGCCTATTTACTTCAGTCGTTACACAATGTTCAAATCCCCTAGATTATCCGCTATCATTCACATTCTCTTTCACAAGGAAATGAATTCCTACATCCCCTAATCTGACCCAATCTGCCACCCCTCCCCAAACCTCCCAAACCCTTCTATCCTGCTCTCTGCAATATCCTGATATCCTCAACTTCTCCAAAATTTCCCTTGAACTTCTCTCTTTGTCAAAACCTTGGCTCCCCTCTGAGCACACTGCTTCCTACACACCCCTCTCAAGTGGTGGCTATTTTTTCTCATAACCAATGTACCACTGGGCCCAGAGGTGGGGTATGTGTTCTTGCTCCTCCCTGGCACTCTCTGTCAGTGGTCCCTCCCTAAACCATCTGGCCCAACTCCTTTCACTATGCTGTTAGATTATATCACCTACTATAACTTATTGCAATCATCTACCCCCTTGTGTTCAATCTCCCTTATTCATTGATGATTTTAGCTCATGAATCACTGTCTCTTCACAGCTGTCATGTAACCATTCTTGGAGATGTCAGTATCTATATGGAGTCTGCATAATACATTGTCTACATTGTAAACAATCCATGTAATACTCTGACCCCTCAGTTGCTTTTACTCCAAAGATCTTGTCTTGTTAGTAACATCAACCACCAATACCCACACTTACTTTCTAGACCTTATTATAACAAATTACCTCTCCACATAAAAAATCTCAGTTTTAAACACCCCACTCTCTTCTCTTTCTTCCTAACTCTAATACCTCCACTCCAACAGTCCTCCCATCCCTAACCATTCTTTTGCTCTCCATTACCTCCCTCATATCCTCATTGCCACATTTATCCAACTTAGATTCCATGGTTTATTATTATAACCACTCCTTGGCATCCATCCTCAACTCCCCAAGTCCCTCTCCCACCATCAAACTTACCTGGAAAAACCCGAACCAAGGTTAAATTCGACTCTCCATCTTCTCTACATTTGCAGCTCAGCAACTGATCTTAACTGGATCAAGTTTCGTTTTAAGCTTTACAACATCAAATTATGCACAGGCAATCACACTCCCTAAGAGTCACTCCCAAATTTTTGTCTCAAGCTCTGAAATCTTTCCTGAATTCCAGGTTCATATAGCTAACTGCCTACTTACTGGAAATGTTCACTTGAATGTCTAATAGGCATGTTAGGCCTCATTCTCTACTCACTAGGAAAGCAAGAGGCAAGGAAGGAGTCTAGTCAGCGACTCAGAGGGAACATGGCCATGATGACACTGGGGCTTCAGTCTTCTAGCTTCCAGATCTGTGAGACAACACATTTCCTTTGTTTTAGTCACCCAGTCCGTGGGACTTTGCTGTGGTCCTAGAAACTAATATGCCACTTAACTGGTTTCCTTGTTTCTGTCCTTGACTACCCACTGTCTAGTTTCATCATAGCAACTGGAAAGGTACTGTTAAACCTTTGAGTCAGATCATGCCTCTTATCTGTTCAAAACACTGCAATGGCACCACTTTTCATTCAGAGTAAACGCCTTGCAAAGGTCTATAAGCCCCTATAAAGTCTGGTTTTTTTCTTATTAATGTGGCACCTTCCATTACACTCCCCATCATTCACTCTATTCCAAGAGCACTGGCCCACTTTGCTGTCCCCCAAACTCCCACACAGGCTCCCTTCAGGTTTCTTCCCTCTACGTTCTCTGTTGTGACAGGAGCACGCACCCAGGGCAAATTCCCATAGGCTTGCCTGGCTTTAAGCTGTGTGGCCCATATGTGATTTTTGGTTCACTTGCTTATATGATTTTACATAAGCAGATGCATGCAGACCAGAACTGAAACTGAGGGCAGTCGGGGTAGAAGAGAATAGTGTTACGAACTACCTATTTGGGAAAGCCAAATAGCTTAATGGTTAAATGATATGAGTAGTGAGAACTGATCTTATTATGAATATATGTTGAAGTTAGAGCTGAAAAGCTTTACTGATGAATGAACAGTGAGGCCTAAGATAAAGACATGAATCAAAGATCACTTCAAAGTGTTTGGCTTGAGGAACTGGCAAATCCAATAGACCTAAGTTAAGTGATCAGCTCACATAAAGGTGAGAAAAGGAAAATTATTTATCTAATTTTAACATTAAAACCTCAAAAAATAACCCCCTCATATGTAATGTGAGAAAATAACAGTGTTAACCACACTATTAAATCAGATGATTCATGCAAGATGACTTACTATGATTGCCACATAGTAAGCATTTAGTAAATATCAGCATTTATCATTATGATTAATCAACGAAATTTAAAAGAAGTGTAAATACGGCAACTGACACACCAACAGTAATTATTGGTGTCTTATTCTGGTATACCCCAGAATGAGCTAGCCTGGCATTTGAATAGACATATTTTCCTTTAGAACAAGTTTGGGTTTAAATATTTCTTAATGAAATTCACATCAAATATTTGTGGAACCCTAGGATTTCACCAAACACAGATAGGAAAATGTTTGTTTAAGTGTCTCTCACTGCTGATACTCTATCACAGTGATGCCGGGGTTCTTGTTCACGAAGCCGAAGAATGAGCTTCACAAACACTCAAGGTAGGAGAGCAAGGTACAGGTTTTTAT